CAGAGAGAATTTTAACCGATTTGGGTGCAAATGCATCAGCAACCCCCCCAAATCCAATGGTTTTAGCGCAAAGTCTCAGTGGAAAATTAACGCAAAGTGGGTGTTTCGCCTGCTTCGGTGTCGAAATGTTGTAAAAAAAATCAGCATTTGCCTGTTTTCACCAGTAAATCTTCAATCCTCCCTTGAGCTGGGTAGCAAAAGGAATTTTCTTGCTAATTATATATATAATTTATTTATTTGTCTAATATACTTATATATTCATTTCTGTGTTTAGTTATATATAAATAAAATAGCTATATATATTATTTATTTATTTGTCTAATATACATTTCTGTATTTATATAGAAATATTTTTATATTTTATTTGTCTAATATACTTCTATATTTATCTCTGTGATTATTTATATATAAATAAAATGTTTTCATACACACACACACACATATATATATATATAAAAATACATATGTGTATGCCCACAGTCTTCTCCAGCCAAACTCACCCTTATACTCAGGTTCTTGGCATGAAAAAAGCAGATTTCTCGCCTCCCTTAAATCTCCTTTATTGTTCATAACTCAAAAGTTTGGCTCCTGCACCTGTAAATTCACCCGGCGCTGTTTAATTTCTAACTCTCCCAACCCAGAGTCTGATTTCCGTCCCTCTTCTCTTCCCCGGTGCTAAATAAATTAGTGAAAATTTGGGGTTCGCTTCCCATTCCTATCCCAGCAGTTTGGATTTCTCTTCCCCCCCCCTCATTTTCTATCTAAAACCAAAATGCAAGCAGATTTTGGGATGCTCCAGCCATGCCACTGAGTATCTCCCCATCCTCTTTCTCTTTTTCCCTTTTTTTCTCCCTATTATCTCCCTTGAAAATTATTTTTTGGGGGGGGGAACATGGTGCCCTCCCCCCTTTTTTCCATTTTTTTTTCACCTCGTCACACTCATTTACCAGGATGCCGAAGCCCTTTTCGCATCCTGCCCCGAAATCCTGCCAAGTTGGCTGTTTCCAGCCAAGTCTGCAACTAATTGGGCTATTACCCAAAAAAAAGCCTCCTCTGCGGCTGTTTCGAAGCCATTACCTCACCTTGGACTAAAGAAAATAATAAAAAATAAATAAAAATAATCCCAAGTCGGCGGAAAAAGAGGCGAGAGGATGCTCGGATGCGAGTATTTGCGCCCCGACGGGGATGCTGGGCAGGGAGGAAGGCAAAAATGCAGCCAAAAATGGCTTTATGGGGAGCAGGTGGGGATGGGAAAGGGGGAAAGAGGCAGCAGGTTTCTGGCTCAGGAGCACGAGCGTCTCGGCAGTGGGAAAAGGGGGGGGAAACGGTCTGGATTTGGGTATGAAAGTCGCAGGCGTTGGAAAAAAATGCAGGGGGGGATTTTTTTTTTAAATTTTTTTTTTTTTCCCCAGAAAATGGCCGAAAATAGTTGCAGGAGGGGGAAAAAAAAATCTAAAAAGAAAAAGGAAAAAAAAAAAAGGTAAAAAAAAGTACAAAGAATTACAGTAAAAAATGTAAAAAAAAAGTTTAAAAGGTTAAAAAATATGTAAAATAAATGTAATATTATGTAAAAATTTCAAAAAATATGTTAAAAATATGTTTTAAAATATGTCAAAAATGTAAAAAAATAAAAAATTGAAAAAAGTTTTGAAAAAAGTTTTAAAAATTGTAAAAACAAAAAAAAGTCAAACAATCCCCATGTTTTTGCAAGACTCCTGGTTAAAGCAGAGATTTCTGAGGTGCCGCTTGCTCGACGATTATATTCCTTTTTATATTATATTTCTGGTTTTTTTCATTTCTTTGGGAAGAAAATCCTTTGCCGGAGTTAGCGGCTGCTCACCAGGCAACGTGGGGGCTTCCCGCAGGTTTAAATGTGCTAATCCCTCTTGCTTTAGGTTTTTTTTTGAAGACCATGGCCAAATATGTCAACTCTGGAGAGCAACCACAGTGAAGGTCTTCAGGGCAAGAAAATCTCCTGAATCAGCAATATTTACCCTATTCCTTAGCGTTTCCCAGTGAAATTTCTTGCTGCCATCACACGTGCTGAAAACAGTGGTTCTGAGCCCAAAAACATGCTGAGGACATCAGGAGTTGGGGGGGTTTCATTGATCCTGCTTAAAAATCAATCTCTCCACCCAATTTTTAATCTGAGACTTTTTTTTTAAATATTTTTATAATCAAAAATTTATTTTTTTATAATTTTCCAAATTTGTCCCTGATGTAACCACTTAAAAAGCACTTTTTGGGGGGGGCAAAGCTGCTTTTATCGCTTTCTGTGCTGAAAATGCTGAAAAATCAACATATCCACCCAATTTTAATAATTTTTAAAAATATATTTATATAATAAGTAAATAAATAGATAAAATTTTGTATTTTTTTAATTTTTGATTTTTGTCCCTGATGTAACCACCTAAAAAACACTTGGGGGGGGGGCAAAGCTGCTTTCATCGCTTTTGCTGAAAACGCAAGACCATGGCCAAATATGTCAACTCTGGAGAGCAACCACAGTGAAGGTCTTCAGGGCAAGAAAATCTCCTGAATCAGCAATATTTACCCTATTCCTTAGCGTTTCCCAGTGAAATTTCTTGCTGCCATCACACGTGCTGAAAACAGTGGTTCTGAGCCCAAAAACATGCTGAGGACATCAGGAGTTGGGGGGGTTTCATTGATCCTGCTTAAAAATCAATCTCTCCACCCAATTTTTAATCTGAGACTTTTTTTTTAAATATTTTTATAATCAAAAATTTATTTTTTTATAATTTTCCAAATTTGTCCCTGATGTAACCACTTAAAAAGCACTTTTTTGGGGGGGCAAAGCTGCTTTTATCGCTTTCTGTGCTGAAAACGCTGAAAAATCAACATATCCACCCAATTTTAATAATTTTTAAAAATATATTTATATAATAAGTAAATAAATAGATAAAATTTTGTATTTTTTTATTTTTCCATTTTTGTCCCTGATGTAACCACCTAAAAAACACTTGGGGGGGGTGGGGGGGGCAAAGCTGCTTTCATCGCTTTTGGTGCTGAAAACATCTATTTTTGAAACAACCTCTTTTTGCTAACTTTGACGATGAAATGGCTGAAGACTTTCTTTAAATTTATTATGGAAAACATATGGAAATTTATGCAGACTCTAATTTTCAACAGGTAATGTCGCTCGGCGAGCGCGATCACGCTCGGTACAAATGATGCTCCGTATCACACCCCTTTAGCAGAACCAGGTGATTATTAAAGCATTTTTTTTCCTCCAAAAGGCAGCTTTTCCAATCATTTCTGCTTCATTTTTGCACATTTCTGACAGTAAGGGTGATCGCTTGCACAGCCTCTGCAGTAAAATATTAATGCAGAGCTCCCCCAAACCCCTTTTCTAGCACTTTTCTCCCCAAAATGGTCCCCTTGATGATGAGTAGCTGGTTGTAGCTCTAATAATTGATTTTTTTTTATTTATCACTGCCCCTCCCCATCTCTTCCCTGTCTTTGGGGAGAGGAATTTGCTTTTCCAAGCCTTAAAAATCCCAAATTTTCAGGTGAAAAGCTCACAGCAGTCACAGCGTTGAGTCAAAAAAAAGCAACTCTTGGCTGCAGCTTTTCCTCCAAACCCACTAAACTGAAGGAAAAATGCTTGAGCAACCCCCTCGATAGGGACAAAAAGGAGGGTTTGGGTCAACGATGCCCCTGAGGGTCCCCAAAATTCAGTGTATTAAAATGGGGGGCAGATAAGGGACAGGGACGGGGCAGGTAGGGGGGGACGTCTCCGTAGGATGCTGCGGAAAATCTCAGCTATTTTAAAAGTCCCTTAAATTGCCCATTAGGACTAAAACGGCGTCGCGGCTCCCCGCTGCGTAAGCGAGAAAGGCGACATGTTTCGACGTGGGGAAAAAAAAAAAAATTGGGAAAAAAACCCCTCTCGGAGCAGAGCAGTGAAGCGAGCAAATGATGACACAGAAGTTGAAGGAGCCATAAAAACCCCACCGAGGTGTCGTTTGCAAGAAGTGACCTTTTCCCACCGAAGGAGACGAGTGGAAAGGAGACCCGGGTGGCTTCAGGGGGGGTGTAAAAGTCGATTTATTTATTTTAGCTTGCAGAGAACAGGCCTGATTTTTTTTTTTTTTCCCTGGGATTTCCTGAGATTTTTCTGCTTTTGCAGCCGAGATATTCAGCAAATGGGGGAAAAACTCAAAATTTCCCACATGAACCCCCCCAAAAAACCTGCTCTGAACGTGGAGACGGTTCAGCGCTCAATCTGGATCATCCCCATTCGGTCATTGTAGCCGGGAAAGTGGAAACGTGATGTGGATTTGCCCCCCCCCAGAAAATCTCGGGATGGGCTGCAAGGTGCGGGACCGTCTGCGAAATCCAACCTCAACCCCCAGGTCCAGCCCATTGGGGTGCTCCAGTAGAGTTTCTCTTGGACAAACTCCTCTTCTTATAATAACTCCGTAACGATGCTCGGAAAAGTTATTCGACCCCTTAGAGCAACATTGTAGATGAAGTCTTTTTTTCCCCCCGCCACGGGTTGCCAAAAAACACCGTAAAAATAAATCAAAAGGCCATTCCTGCAGCTAAACCTGTCCCGGTTTAGCCAGACGTTTCATCTTTCCAGCTTATTAACCTGCTGGCTGCAAACGCGCCACTCTGTCGGCTTTCCAAGAATACCCCGTGACCCCAAAATAAGCCAGAAAGGGGAAAAAAAAAAAACCATACTTTGACCCAAAACCCTTCAGTCCTGCAGATTGTGTCAAGAGGGGTTTTAATTTTTGCCAGTCTCTGAAATGAACATTTTGGGGTGAACTACTTTGTAATGGTCATTATTTAGGAAGGCAGGGTAATTAATGCAGGAGTTGGGAGTCACGAGGTGTCTGGAAGGAGCCCATGGGTGCTGGGGGACACTCACCTGCGGGGTGTCTTGGTAGGGAGGAGGGGGCACCGTCTGGGTGGCCATCATCGTCAGAGCCGGTGCCGGGGAGACATGGTGCATCCTGGGTGGGAGTCACATCGAGAACCTGCGGGCGGAAGAAATGCTGATGGATTAAGGGGGATCTCCCCCCAAAAAATCCCACAGAAAGAAAAAAAAAAAGGGGGACAGAAAGGAGAGGGGACGTTCTTCACACAAGCACCCTGGCACAGCGCTCCACAACTCAGTCCCTGGAAGAAACCCAAGATGGTGCTATGACCCTTATCATAATTTGATGATTATTTGAGATTTGTGATTTCGGATAAAGAATGCATCGGGGCAAAGTGAAGAGGGTCACTGGCAAGGAGATCTTCCCTGGAGAGCAGCCAGGCAAGGGCAGAGCTCTTGGAGATGATGGCTGCCATCGGTGAACTTCATTATGAACCCTGGTGCACCCAGGGCATTTTCTTTCCACCCCTTACGCCTATAACCACAGTGCCTAAATGGGGATTTCCATCCCCTTTCCAGTTATTCCTACATTTTGGAAGCAGGAAGACAAGTCATAAATGAAAAACTTTCCATTTTCTGAAATTATACACTTAAAAAAAAACCCCCAACGGTGTGTCTCTCTGCCTTTGGCCACCATGGAGTCACATCCTAAAGCACTGCATGCTCGAACCAGAAGGGACATTGTATGTATCCGATGTTGAGCTGACCGACATAGTTGACTCCTCCATTGAGTTGACCAACCCAGTTGACTCCTATGCTGCACTGACCAACCCAGTTGACTCCTATGCTGCACTGACCAACCCAGTTGACTCCTCCATTGAGTTGACCGACCCCATGGTGACTGAATGCACAGAAATGAGGAAAGAGGGTTCAAACCCTTGCTTGATTTCAACCAGGGAGCAAACCCTGATTTTGCACATCCCATACGGACATCTTTGAACCCAGGGAGGCAGTCTGAGACATGCCACCCTCAACCTCCCTTGAAGTTGCTCTGCTTTCTGTAAATGCATAGTTATTTGGGGGGAAAACAGACTTTTTTTTTTTGGTATCTTCAGGTCCCAAGGAGATGGGGAAAAAAGAGGGGCACCAGGAAGAGGCAAATTTGTAGAGGAGCTCTTGGCTGGATGCTGTCCCCAAGGATAGACCTGGTGGCAGATGTAACCAAAAAGCAATTCTTGGCCCCAAAATGCCTCCTCTCCTCTCACTGCAGCTGTGTGGTCGCTTCAGAAGAAAAGCCAATAATCTTGCTTAAATCCTCAAAAAAATCCCTGTCCTGAGTCCTCTCGGAGGCTCTGAGCCCTGTGTTGAGCCAACTCACAAAGCCACCTGGCAAAGTCTCCCCAGAGCCTCCAAAAGTGCATTTCTCTCTGCAAGGACTCATTTTTGTAAGAGATTACATCTCTTGAAGGGTTTGCCCCGTTGCGATGCCCATCGTTGCATTGGGTTCCCTGTTGGCTTCTCATCTGGAGAGGACCTGCCGCGCTGTCCCGTGGAAAGCAGAACTGCAAAAAGTTACGCACAGTCCTCTGATATAGTGAAGGCACCTGCCAAAAAATAGCACCAGCGTTGTTTTTGCCATGAAATGGTGACATGCAGGAAGAAATGCTCTCACACAAGGCAGAGGAGCAGGGATACCGATGAGCTCATTAAAAACCGAGGCACATTCGGGGTCTTCGGATCAGTCTCCACAGTTTTTGGGGGAAGATCCTCAATATTCTGGTCTTGTCCATGAGGTCGGCAGTTATTTGGGGGAAGATTCACAATATTCTGGTCTTCTCCATGAGGCTTCGGGCTTTACAGGCACCACCAGGCACCAAGAGAACAAATGCACTGAGCCCACGTGGAAAGCCAAGTGCTGTCTGCATGGGATGAGCGTCATCCACTCTGACTATTTTGCATGAATAAATTAATTTATTTTTTTCACTTTGCACTAGTATGGATGACCCGTGAATTGAGTATTAAGAGAGCACACCCAAAATCCCGTGCATTGGTAAGGCAGACTGGGATCCTTGCATGGCACAGACCTCTTGCAGCGAGAAGGATATTGCATTTATGGGATTAAAACGATGCTTTTCATCTTTTTTCCCCAACAGCAAAATAGCGGGAGGCAAAATTATTTGCTCCTGAGTGAACTGGCGGCTTAAAATCTTCGGTGCCCGATGTCAAAACTCGGCTCGCAGCTGCAGGCACCTCCTCGAGGGGTAACACCAAGGGGAAATCTCCCCACCAGAAATAGCTGCAGCTGGAGAAAAGCAGAATTCAGCACCGTGACAGTCTAGACATCTCGGTGGGAAGCTAAAAAAAATGAAAGATTGCTATTTTGGCAAAAAAAAACCCCGCTTGGCATCTATTGTTCATGCCAGGAGCAAACCTACCCCTAGCGCACGGCGATTTATTGTGGGGTGCAAGCTTTTCGGCCAAATATATTCCCAGAAGGTGGCAGTCCGGAGCCCAATTTAATTGCCAAATATCATCTAACCTGCTAAAATCAAGCCATTCATTAAGGCTTTATGGGCGTTGATTTGTTTGGAGAATAGGACTTACAGCCAAATGTAAAAAAAAAAAAAAAAAAAAAGGATAAAAATGAGAGACAGCTGTTGCCGATAGCGGTATATTTATCTTGGGGGAAAGAAATGCACTCAGGCGCCGTAAATATCCGGGGAAGCGCCTGGCGCCCGCGGGAAAAGCGGGTGTTTCACGCGGGAGCCCCCGGCCATGAATCTTGGGATAACGGTGCAAAGCTGTCAGCCCCGTGGATTTATCGGCAGCCAAACACAGGGAAGGGTCGAAAGCTGCTATTCTATGCATTAATCCTTTCTTATTTTTTATATTTTTTATTTTATGCGTTAATCCTCTTTCCCCCCCCCCCCCCCCCCCTCTTTTAAAAAATGTTGGTGGGGGGGGGTTGGGGAGAAAAAATAAGGGGGGGGGG